AAACGTTTAAAGTTCGTGAATACTGTAAATAAAACTATAGAATCAAAATTGTCAATTCGATCTTAAATATCTTGGCTAATAGATTGCCAACAGATATAAATCGTCCTGATCTTGGACCAAAAATGTATAATGCTTACGGCTCTGAAGATGCTGATGGTGGAAACGGTACAACAAACCTTCACCTAGATATGACAGATGCTGTTAATATGATGGCTTATGCACCAAAGTTTAGGAATCGACTTGAACATGAAAAACTCAAGCCATCTGCGGCTGTTTGGGACATTTATCATTTTTCAGATCTACCGCGCGTTCGTAGATTCTTGCGCAAAGTTGCCAACGAAAGAGGCTTACTAATTGATCATCCCATTCACGATCAATGTTTTTATATGGATTCAACGTTGCGTAATCGTCTTTTGGAAGAAGAAGGTGTTAGTGGTTGGAGAATTTACCAGAATCCTGGAGATGTAGTATTTGTTCCTGCCGGATGTGCACATCAAGTATGTAATTATACAAGCTGCATCAAAGTGGCTGTCGATTTTGTATCGCCAGAAGGTGTGGCACGAAGTCATATTATCAGTAACCAATTTCGTAAATTGACTCACAATCATAAGAGAAAGAAAGATATTTTGCAGCTTCCTGTTATTCTTTATCATGCATGGACGACCTCATCTACTAAATAATACGCAATTTAAGAAATATCATAAGATTAGTTCGCATGATGGCTATAACTTTATTTCTTTTCGACCAAGTTAAATGCACATTCCTAATTTTTAGAAATATTTTATGCTGCGTTTTACATTCTTTTCATTGCTTCATAGATTTCACTTTCATCGACCGAATAATCAATCCTTTACAATTTTTCATTGTTTTGAATAAGATTTGTTTATAATTGTTTTGAGTAAATTAGAATTTTACATGAGTAGATTTGCTCAGTTATTGTGAAATAAAATGTCACATAATAATAATAAATGTGATATGTAATAGATTGTTTTTCATAAGAGTTTCATTAATTTATAATCAATTCCAGGTCTTTTTAATTCAATATCCATCTAATCAATGTACTGTATTAAGATCCATTTTTTTAAAAAAATAATTTTTCAAATAAAATTCATTGCTATATTTTGTTCGTAAATCCTTATTAATTGAACACAATATTAGCTTTTTATTCGGTTCACTATAATTCAGTCAGTAGTTTTAATAACAATAATACGATCGGAGATTTAAAGATTTACTGTGTAAGTATAAATTATCTTTCCTAATGTCGAAATTGTTGGGTGAAATTATTTTTTTATTATATATTAAATATTAATTAAAACTAAACTAATCATAAACTATAAAATATTTAAAAATGAATTTCACAACCATCTATATGTGTAGGTAAATTATTCGTCGCCTTTATCTAATAAACTTTTTTTGATATACTTTTAACCGGGCTTAAAAAGTGGAAACATTAATACCATTTATGACCTAATATTTAGTCAGTGAAAGGCCAGGTTTATAGACTTTTTGTAAACTTTAGGTCTTTTAAAGATGAATACTATTTATCTCAGGCTTTATACAATGAATTGATAAAGTATTTGTTAATGTAAACATACATATTGAAAGAAATTTTGCGATTTAATATTAAGTTGAATACTATATATACTAATTATATTAACATTTTATTTTTCTACGTAGAAAAAAATTAAGTACCTAATTAGCCCAATTAATTACACCCTTTAAATTAATATAAAATTTACATTTCTTTAACATTAAACAGAATTTTTTTTTTCTTTAAGATTTTTTTTCGTCGAGATCTTATCACTAAATTATATACCTTATTATATTGTTCAATAGGTCCCTCCGGTCGATGCCAACTCAATTTAAGTGCATCTTTGATCAAATCTCTTACACTTATTTCTTTTTCATGCAAATTATTTTTTAATCGTTTATAATCATTTATTACCTCAGTTAAAGCTCTTACCATCCCTTTAACAGAAGGATCATTATATTGTCCATCAACTAATTCAAATAAATAAGAATTATATCTATCGCTTGCATTATCTACGTTTTTACTAACTAAAAATTCCTTTAACCCTCCTACACCCGTACTAACAATTGTGGCACCAAATAATAATCCTTCGGCTGCAACTAAACCGAAACTTTCAGTAAGACTAGGTACAAATTGTATATCTGCTGCAGCACGATATAAGATTCCCCAATTATTTTGAAATTCTAAATCATCAATTAAATTGAAATGTTGCGGGTACTTTGATTGAAGTTTTTTCAATTTATAAATAGGAAAATTATTTTCCTGACCCATAACAATTAATTTAGCGTCAAGAGATGCTACAGTCTCGGCTGCTGGAATCAAGAATTCTGCACCCTTATTATATTGAAATCGACCGATATATAAAACTATGGTTCTATTTAAATCGCTAGCATCTAAAAGTCCTTCTTTTATTAAATAACTTTTAGCTTTAAATTTTGCATCAATAACAAGTTCTTGTGATGATGTATCGATTTGTTCCTCAATAAAATGCTCATAATCAAAAGTATTAATATTCTTTGGGAAATGTGAATCGGTCTCAAAGAGTAAAAGATCATCGAAAGGATTAAAATGAGTAAAATCCAAACCATTAGAGATTCCAACCCATTGTCCGTGGGATGCACGGTTAAGAATACTCGGCATAATTAATTCCTTTGCCCAAAAATCTAAAGGACCTTCTACCATTTCTTTTGCCAGTGGTTCAGAGACAAAAGTTATTATTTGAGCATTATCAATTGCATAAGCTGATGGATAAAGTCGACGACCATGAACATAATTTAAATAATCATCAGTATCATTGCTTAAGTCTTTGAACATTTTAAAGTTGGCAAATAAGGTTGAATATAATTGCTCTTCTAAATAATCATGCAAAGTATAAACGATTGGAGGAGATGGTTTACCATAGTGATCTTCAGTATATAATTCTTTAAGAAAATCTATCACAAAAGAATTTGTTGCCCCATGAAGATGCACAACATCTACACCTCTATTTGTACTTTCGGCAAAAAGATGAGTTTCCGGATATTTATCCAAGTTTGTTATAAGTTCAGCTACTGCTTTGCAAAAATACAAATTCATCCATTCTTGAGATAATCCGGGTGGAGTTGAATATATTTCAAGGGGACTGGATGCTTGAAAAGCCAAATCTAGAGGACTATAATCTATTGCAGGTCCAATGAAATAAATAACCATTTCTCGTGGATTTTGTGGTTCATTACTCAAGATATCAATATTTTCGTTAATAACCCAACGCATTTTTCGAACCGTGAAATTTACAATTTGCCATTCACCATTACTTTTTTGGATTTTAATTGAAAAATAAGAGTGAAATTGAAGCTTATAATAATCTTGTAAAAAACTATATAAAGGCATTATAACTCTGACATTCAACTGTTTATTCATCGCTTGTCCCTGTGATAAAGCTGTTACAACATGCCCTAATCCACCCATTGTAGCAATACCAAATTCTTTACTAACATGATAGATCGACGCGCCTCTTGGAATATCTGATTTTAAGGTTTGACGTAAACCTATATAGGGTTGTGGATCAAACGTTCTACTTTCTTTAATCATTATATATATATATATATATATATATATATATATATGTGATAATGAATTAAAAAAAAAATT